TTTCGATGAAGAAATTCAAGGAAAATGGTTATAATCAACAGTTATGAAATAGGAACGAAATAAATAGAATAACGATGAATTCCAACCTTTAATATAGTTGAAATATGCTTCTTCCCTGTATGATGTTTGTTACCAATTCGTTAACAACTTAGTTAAATTGTTTTATACGCAGAGGAAGGTTACATAACTTCAAATGAGAAGTAGACAGGTCATAACACGACTGTAGGTGATTATTCGATCTATTCCAATGAACTCTTGACAACAAGGTACATCTGCAAGGTTGGCGTCTGTGAGATGCAAAGATGCAATAGAATATTCGCTGTAATATTAGCAAGGAAAATTATTTTTCTGGAAATAATTAGATTTCCTTACCGGAGTACAGTTTTGACTGTATAATTTCATTAAAATTTTGGAATTGAATTATTATTCAATTTCAAATTCCCATTTTCATGTATACTCCAAGCTATTTCTCATAGTCATGACGGAGTAGGGTTCTTAACTATTTTGCTATAATAACGCTGTTTGCTACGGCGAGCGTTGATATAGGTACTCAAATTAGCATTCATCAAGAGTACTGATTGAGTACCTGAAATACCATCGTGTTTGATGGCAAATTCGTATTCATCATCCAGTATGTACTGACCATAGTCCAATAAAAACTCTCATATTGTTCATTACAATGATATCTGTCTGTTTAAAATCTGTTTTTTCGTTAATCAGCTGTCGCCCCCATACGAACAACAACTTTCAGAAGTTGAGAAACTTGTGCGAGCTAAGGACTAACGAGGTCTTACCTTTCAACGTGTGATTCCTAACACGGTTGCAGAATCATCCCAGCTTCAACCAGATAAATTCTCTCGAGAAAAATATCTGGTCGAGGCAGGAATCGAATCCACATGTTTCATCCAAACAGCATAACATGTTACCCCTTTGAATTCAACGTCATTTTAGAACACCATCTGATTGATGAACATCGCATGCACTTTCACAGATGACTTTTTTGGCCATGCACTTTCACAGACGACTTTTCTGGCCATGCACTTTCACAGACGACTTTTCTGGCGCAGGCATGCTGTTATTTTCACAATGCAGCACCAATGTTTGTTACTGAATATTTTCAGAAAAAGCAGAATTTCACAACCATCCTTTTATCCAAAATCCGATAACTCTGAACTAAAAAGCATTCTGAAACAAAAACAATAAGAACATCATTCAACATAACAGAATGGGTACTACAACACCAAAAAGAAATGACAGAATCCTTCCCAGTTTTGCCGAGCTAATGGGGAGTTTGACGCCCCTTTAATGTATTCAAAAGTTGACACAAGTAATTCCCACTTTGAAACACCTCGACGCTACCAGTTCAGAAAGTCTTCTGAAGTTGACACATGTTTTTAATGCCTACCGTTCTAGGTTGGAATTATTTTGCATAAACGATAATCAAGTATGCAGAGTTTGTAAAAAAATCTATATGTGGCCTATTGGTATACGGTACAAATACTATCAATTAACTATACTTTCTACTATATTTCCGGTATCACCAGAATAATTCTCCTTCGGTAATGATATGTGTCTCATTATGATTCGGTTTGATGGATCACAATATATCAATTAAAAAGCGAGAGTGCTTTTGACCACATGATTGACGTAAAACTTCTTCAGCTCCATCTATATGTATGTACGTATATATATTTATATATTAATTTTCTATTCAATTAGTATATCCACATAAATTATCATGTAATAGATAATAGGCTTATGGTATGAGGAATAAGATACATATTTTTCGATTGTTGTTCCATGTCTTGTGGTAGGCTCATTTCGGTTATCATTCATTTCTAGTTCTAATTTATCTTATAGAAAGTTTACCAAGGTTGTCCATCTTCGGACGCGAAATTTATATTGAAATTTCCTGCTGAAATTAGTGGCATCATATGATATTGTTTTCCTAATTGTTCAGAGTGTACTCGACCGTAAATGTGTGCTCGCACCTCTCACTCTCTCGTACCTCTACAGTAATATACAAGACGTAACTCTCTCCTTCTATATTCACTAACTTATATCTCCCTCTCAACTTCCGTTCGCCTCACCTGGTCACACTTTTCGTAACGCTCTCGTCATGCATCCACCAGCTTACTTCCCAAGTCAAGCGCGTATAAAGTAGTTTTACTTCAATAATAAATAGTCTATCCCCATTTCGCTGATACAAAATTCAACTGCAAATAACAAAAACAAATACGTTGAGACCAAATTTTCTGTCTCTTTCGGCCTATATTCAATGTGTCACGACTGAAGAAATTAATAAATACATCGCAACACATGTTGCCGTTTCATAATACATTTTTGGAAAATATTATGATTAGGACGTCTTTGCTAGTGGAGGTGTCCTACATTTTCAGATTTCAAATCATTGTCCTTTTTTGAATATATACGTCTAACTAGGCCTCTTCGTGGGTGTAATCCTCAGTAACAGTAATCCTAGGAAGATCTTGGCACAGCGCAATATTTATTATAATTAATAATTATAATTTACAATCGGCGATATTGGGAAAGCTATGCTCTTTATTCACTATGGAGAAATTAGGTATACGTGCCTACTTTCGTATTGTAAAACTAGTGTAAAATTGACAATATTTGGCGGATTTGAGAGGATTTGGGTACCTGTTTCCTACATAGTAAACCCTTTGTAATTAAAATAATCAGGAGTGCCATAAAATCATCACCTCAAACATAATTCTCATCTGAATTACACTTATTTTGAAGAGGGAAGGATTCTTTCTGTCTCTTCCAATAAATGAATACATGCCTTCCAGATGGGTCGAAGTGATTTGCTTACTTGTCAACATAATTATTACCATCAAGATAAAAAATATGCCGGACACATATCAGAATCGAACAGCCTGATAAGTACGAAATTGATTCTTAGGATGGGAGGTTCACTGAAACGTTCAACTTAGTCAATGATGGTTTTACTCTTTGCATTGTTTGTAAATTCGTGATGAGTTGGCACATTAGTTCAAACCACCTCCAGGTAATGTCCATTTCTATTCATAGTTCTCGTGATTTTTCGAATACCATACCATCTTTCATATCCGATGGAATGTGCCAGAAAGAATGACAACAATTACATTATGTTAATTAGCCCATGACTCTGCGAATTATATATGATTGTTCGTGTTGTCACTTTAAACGCTTTTGTAAAGGATGGCCTTTCAATCCATCTTCGATAAACAAACGAATGGTATCAAGACAGTCGGTGAAGAGTATAGAGAAAAGGTCCGCCTTTATATCCTTTATATTATGATAAATAGTCTCAAAATTTTATAACCTACTGTGATCTTTGCATTTGAATTTGAAAGGTAACGGCAGATCTCATTGGTTTTTTCCCTGTCGGTTCACTATAAAGAATCGGGTATCTTCAGAATATTTTGTGTTGAACAATGAATGTTGGAAAATATTAGAGCGACAACATTTTACGTCTATAGGTCATTCAGAGAGGTGTGAGTTTTTGTCCTCCTCAGTTCGACTATTCGCCAATGGTTGAATAATTTTATTATCGGTTCAAATAGTTTATTAGTTTCTTCATGGATATTTGTGAGAAAAACACTATTTATTCCAGAAAAGTTTTAAGAATTGATTAAATATTGTTAATATTTTTCATCAATTTTTGGGAAANATAATGTTATGGAAAATGAAATGGATATATCGCACAAGAATTCATATAGTTATAGTTTCATTGTAATTGCTAACTTTGGAGACTCATCAACATCAATATTGGCACCTGAAGAGCCTCTCTCAAAAAAATTCATAAAAAACTTGTTATTGAGTGAAATTGAATCCAATTCAGATAATTTCCTCATCATAACAACTGTTGGTGTAATATGAGTCGAGAAAAATGTCTTAGAAATTCAAGTTTCATTGTCGTACAAGTGATGGAAATCAATTATCAAGATAGTTTTTTTTTAACTGAAGAAAAAGGGATTTTCTGAAACGTATGATATCAGTTCCAATATTTAAACGAAATCATGATTACGTGTATTAGTATTCGATGATTATTTTGAAATTATCAATACTGAACAACGGGTTTTCCATANTAAAGTATCTTTCATGACGACATTGGTATCATTAAAGTCGTATCATGAAGTTGTTTGATCTTCCTCTTGAAGATGATCACTTGGTTATCGAAACACGTGTCGAGGTGTTGAAATAATGGTTTGGTGTTGGGAAAAAACTCCAGTAATATTGTTTGGGATTGTTAAAAAACAGTGAAGTGCCCTCTGTGAAGGTTGTTCCTTTATGATTCGATTGAACAGATTGATTGTACAGATTGAAGCGGAGAAAAATAACTTCTTTCCTTGTATAATAACTCAAAAATGCTTCAAATGTTACTGAACAATATCTGTGGTGTGCACATTCTATTGTTTACTGTAGTTGGCCACGAAATTACCTACAATCATAGATATTTGTGTCGTTTCAAGTAACTTGATTATGATTTTAGAGCTTTTTCTGTGTCTCTGATGTAGATTTTCATTTTCGTGTTAGCGAAGTTGGGTTTGCCATTGAATTTATTCACTTCTCTCAACTCCTTGATCAGAACTTTATTAACCTATCACTCTAATTGTACCCCTCTATAATTTCAATAGTTATTGTTTTTGTTGGCAGCATATTCATATGAAATGAAGCTAGTTTTTCTGACGAGTCGTGAAATATGAAAGTTCATAAATTCTAATCGAGGGAGCTAAGAAAATTTTCACTTTCGAACTTTCAAGCACAGCCGATGCGTGAGAAATTTTCAAGTCTTCCCCAATGTCCCGAGTCGGCAGTAAACGAGTAACGATAATTTATAACAAGTGACTGCTGGGTATGTATGCCACAATAGAGGGAACAAGTACCTTTCACTATATGCGAGGATACTGGTAAGCAGTGGCAAAATTCAATACATAGGCGCCACTTTTGTAATCTTGCAGCCTCCTAACCGTAACATTCAGTGCTCAACGGTAGTCCAGATGAAATGATTGATCAGTGCACATCCTGTTATGAATGATAGTTTGTGATTGAAATTTGTGATCAATATTTGTGATAAATGTTTGTGAATTGAACAAACTACTTGGATTATTGATGTCATTATCGTAAGTGTTTTTATTTTTGACCAAACGAAAGATCATTGCACAAATTTTATAAAAAAATTGTCAGTTCTGGTATTTAGTCTCATATATCAATGCTTTCGTGAGAAGCATTGAGCTGACTAGTTTTAATTGAAGGTAGAACAGATCAACAAAAATTGTATCAACTACAAGTAAATTTTGATCATTTTCAAATGTAAATGTGTTCTATCTATTCTCAGGAGTGCCCGATTTGAATTATAGAAAACATTCAAGTATATTCTCTGTATTACTCTACTGAACGTATCATTTCAAAAAGTATTTTTCTCATCATCGGTCATTGTTTCAATTTTTAACAGTCAATTCAATTCTCTGTATTACTCTACTGAACGTATCATTTCAAAAAGTATTTTTCTCATCATCGGTCATTGTTTCAATTTTTAACAGTCAATTCATAGATAATCAATTGAATTTCATTTGTATAAAAACACTTTTCACAAAATAAATAGTCACTCCTAAAAATATAACCCCTGAAATTTAAACTATTTATGCATGTTATAAATGATCAAACTTTTATTTCACTTCACTATTGGCGTAATCGTATGAAAGCAGTTTTTTGAATATGAATATTCTCACAAATTCCGATCGTCGCTTAATCTCATAACGACGTGATACAAAGTATATGTATTATTATCAAAAATTTCGTGTGAAACCATGTATTATATAATAAATATGACGTATATGTTCTCAAAACGAACTTAAATTGAATATTCCCCAAATAAATGTTTTACTTATGACAACTATGTTATGCAGGATAACGTAAAAACTCAGATAAGAACTGGTTTTGGTTAACTTTTATCGTATGCAGACATTTATTTTAACATCACCAGTAAATTGAATGATAATTTTAGCCATTTTACCTCCATTATTACGACTTTATCAAGTTAAGTCATTTGCTGATTTTCAATTCGGGTTCAATATTTGAATAATTAAGTACTTGATCACAATTGATTCAAAGCAACTTAGGGAATTGTAAGATAAATTTAGCACGTCGATTTTCTTCTTACATGGAAAGTGGACCTAATTTGAGCGCAAATAATATTCTTTGTTTCTTTGGAGATCTGATTTATTTAACTGGGTGTTATTGAAGACTGAAGCTCTATGAATATGAGTGTTAGGATTCAATACTCAACAAATCGAAATTATTATGAGATGTCACCTGTGCGATTTAAAAGTGAAATATATCAAAACAATAATTTCAAAATGAACACAATCAAACTTATCAGGTATTCGGTACCAATAATGTTTTCTTTAAAAAAACTTGGTTGAGATTGAGGTCCATGTGTTTCATCACCACGACGGTGAACATAATTTATCGCATCTAAAGATATCTTGGTCTCTATTTCCAAAAATCAACATGACGTAATGAGGCAAATTTTAGTAAAATCTTTCAAAATACCCTATATAAGGTGACTAGATGTCTAGAGAGGAAAAAACAAAGGAGCTGTGGTGAGTGTGACAGAAAATAAAGGTTGAAAAACCTATGTAATCGTTTTTATAAAGAAGAGACATGATGTCGGCTTATTTTTCAAAAACCATGGTTTCAAATGGTTCTTCGAACACAAACACTGATCAGTTGAAAATTGGTAACATTTCTAGTTTTCGCCTGGGAACGGAAGTCGGATTCTGAAAACTTTCCTGTTTAAGAACTCTTTCATTTGTAGAACTGCGTTTATGTGGAATAACCTTCCTGAGAACGTTTTTTCAGTGATTCAAAGCTAACGTGAGTCGCTACTTTTGCACAGGCACTGCTTTTAGTGCGCCTTAAGGGTTTTCTCTGTGGTGTTTGTGTTTTGTCTTAAGAAAATGTACTGGAGACCCCATTATGTTGGGTACGGGAGAAATTCCATGCAACAAACTTGGGAGATATGTTAATTCATTGCTAGAACCGTTTGTTGGACTACGGAGGGCTGTAATGATAATAATAATAAAAATAAGTTTATTCACGTTAGATTGTTTACAATAATTGCATAAAAAACTTTGAGTGTCATTCGCAAATGAAGGGAGAGAACCCATTTAAGACCAAATGGTTGCGCATGGGTCATTATTTCTCGTCTGTTGTACAGAATGTTTCCCAAAGAAATAATTTCGTTTATCATTTAAGTAAAACAGTAATTTAAAGATTCACAATAATTATGTGTTTGAATAGAATTTCATCTTCATACAGGATAACGCTTCTCAGCACGTCCATAGGGATATTCAGTATTACTTTGGTACACAAAATGAATGCTCGTGACTGGCTTGCGTTCCTACCAGATGCAAATCCCATAGAATATTTTTGGGATCTACTGTATCTGTATCTGTAGAGTAGGGAGAGTGGGTGAAGGCCCACAGCACTTAGACCACATGTGACCCATTGTACATTCTCCCGAAGAGTTGTCCTTCTAGGTCATCGTCCATCCTGTCCTTTCCAGGAAGGTGAACAGGTCACTAGAAGGCATATCCTTTATATCGGCAGGTGTAGGCCAAGACTCGCCGAACACACACTATCTTATTGACGATAACTCCGGACACTCGCATAAGACATGCGTGACAGTTTCATCTTCCTGTTCACACTTCCTGTATAGAGGTGTGTTCACTAGTCTCATATTATGGAGGTTTTTCCTTAGTTGACTGTGGCCAGTCAGAAATCCTACTGTCAAACGTAGGTTCTTCCTGGTCATCGCCAGATATTTCTTCGGCGCTAGCTTCCAAGGATCGCCCAGGGTGATCCTGGCAAGACTGCTCTCCATCCTTTCTCTTTAGGGATTAAGCATGGGTGTGACGTTTGGCTAGTTCCACAATTGTTGAGGTCATCAGGCCGTAGGTGTCACTGGGTCTTAAAATTCTTAGTCCAGCCGCTTCCTTGGCTAAAGAGTTTGCAATGCGATTACCTTCATACTCCTGTCGGGCCCTTTAACCTACCTCAGGGTAATGATATTATCTACCGAGGCTTTGGCTAAATCTTGGTGGTACTCTAGTACTAGCCCTGAGGTAACACGTTGTCTTTTCAAGGCTAAAAGGGCTTGTCTGCTATCAGTGCAGATTGTTATGTTTTTGCCAGAAATTCCTTTGCAGCCAGTTCTGTTTGAACCACGCTAGTATTTTTTCTCTACTTGAAGCAATTCATGAAAGACTGAGCAGCTAATTCAAGTGAAATAATTCCGTTTTGTTATTTCATAAAATTTCTGAAAATGCACTCAAAAAATGTTGTTGTATTTTGAATTTTCTCTTCGAATTCGTTTTTTAGTAATAGTAAATCTATTTTGAACGTTTTCTTCGTGAATGTAAAGAATTACTTAAACATCTGGAGATATATTTTGTTTTCATATTTGGTTTGTTCTACTTTTATCTTCTATTGGTTTACTTAGAGCAGGTTTATCACTGATTTTTTTTTACAGATCAAACACCTTCCGAGAAAATTGATGATACCTAGGAAAATATTGAAAACTTCCGGATGATGTACCTGAAAATGAGTGAGTCATAAGAATACCCAGGTTCTGTCATATAATCATACAAAATAAATAGAGGACTATTGATCTACGTCATAGCTATTTTAGTAGTAAAAATTAGATGATAGACATAACCCACATCACGACAGTAAATCCCAGATAACTCATATTTCGAATTAAGCTAAAAAATTAGGAAGATATCAGATAACACGATAATTCGAATAGTCCCATTGGTGCCAATAAAGATATAAAGAAATCAAGATGTTTGCTATTATGCAGATAGATAACGACGTTAGTGGAGGACAGTTCAGAAGAAAAATGCGTTCGAAGTGCGAGTTCATTTGCAAGTATTGTCAAAGAAGATTTACGAAACCCTATAATTTGATGATACATGAGAGAACCCACAAGAGCCCCGAAGTTACTTTCAGCTGCGAAGTTTGCGGAAAAAGTTTCAAGAAACAGGATAACCTTAAACAACATAGGTATGATGAAAGTCAATTTGTTTTACTTTTCTTCATTCAATGTTTGAGAGCTATCTAATTTTTAAATGATTTGATCAGTTTTGAAACCTCTCTATTGAAATTCTTGACCTCTTGCTAATTAACTGATATTTTACAACTTCATCAAGTTTTAATGAGTTTTTAACGCGTTAGATTTGCGAAGCGATATTTCAGAAACGAACCTGAAAAAAATGATGAGGGGTTTTCATTATCGTGAAAATGTTAAACTCCTGAACCTTGGTTCACTCCAGAGAAACGTTCAATGTTATTGAAATAAATTTTCTGTCGATGTAGGTTAGAAGTCAAAAAGATATTAGAGAAATTTTGTAATTTTTCAATGGAATTCTTGAAATGTTTTTGTAAATGACACATATTCAGTATCTGATGAAGACTTCATATCCACAACGGTATGTTTGTTCCATTTTTTATATAGATGCGATTTCATTCAAAACCAATAATGTGATTGAATTGCAATTGAATGAAGGAATAATATGCTTTCAATTTTTATGGTTTGAGTCTTCTATTCGAATATATTCTGTGAAATGACCGAAATTGAAACTATTGAATCTGAAATCGCGACAATTTGAAAATTTGTTAAGTGTTTTACAAAAATACTTCTTTCTGCTCTAGTTATTGTAACTTGTTCGAAATTTTGTCACAACGATGGAGTATTTTTTTTTAATTCAAGGAAACATACGAGCTCCGAAACATGACAATCGAATCCTTGAGAAGTGTTTCTGAGTGTCACATTATCATAAAAGGCAATATCTGAGGGTAACTATATATATCAAAATGGTATGTTTGCTCCATTTTTTACATAGATGCGTTTCTTTCAAAATCAATGTGGCCACAATTGAATGAATGAAGAATATGATATGATTTTTTATGATTTGAGCCTCCTCTTCTAATTTATTATGTAAAATGACCGAAATTAAAACCATTAGATCTGAAATCGCGACAGTTTGAATATTTGTTTTGTGTTTTACAAAAATGCTTCTTTCTGCTCTAGTTATTGTAGCCTATTAAATCCATTTCATTCAAAACCAATAATGTGATCGCAATTGAATGAATGGATAATATGCTTTTAATTTTTATGGTTTGAGTCTTCTGTTCGAATATATTTTGTAAAATGATCGAAATTGAAACTATTGGATCTGAAATCGCGACAATTTGAACATTTGTTTTGTGTTTTACAAAAATACTTCTTTCTGCTCTAGTTATTGTAACCTATTCAATCCAAAAACACGAAAATTTTATACAAAAAGGGAAAGTAAATCTATTTGAAAAAGTTGTCACAAAGATGGAGTTTTTTTTTATTCAAGGAAACAAATGGATTAACACTCACTGTATAGGTTAATTATTCAATATAAAGAACAGTTAAAGAAGACATAACTTATTCTTTTGAAATTTTAAATCGATTGATTTCAATAAAGCCACCCTGAAATCATTAACATATGTAATTTTTTTCGAGCTCTTACTGGAATTTGAAGTATGATGAATGGGAGTACCATAAATTTCAAAACACAACTTGAAAATACCTTTTTTCAAATCTCAGACAGCCAAGAGTTTCTACCATCCATTCAACATGCAAATTTAAAATTATGCTTCTTCAAAGAACGCTTTTATGATTCATTTATTTCCTTCATTCAGTCGTTCCTTTTGTCACTAGCTGTTAAAAATTAGTTACAGAATATTAAATCTATTCCTCTTATTAACGCATGATTGGGGACAGTAAATTTTTGAGAATATATTAAGGTATAGACATGCAACAGACCATGATAAATTCTGTTTATTGCTCATAATAAATTACTCGTATGCCATAAGTGATTCTGCAGATTGCTGTTTCTGTTTTACTTTTTGTAAAAAAAGTTAAATATCTTTTGTTGCATACAAAGCTGAGGGAGCTTTTCTAGAACAAAATCTTCGTATAACAATTATTGTTTTGTTCAGTTTATTGTTCTGCATACTATCACAACAATGCATTTTATTTTTGCGTGTACTTTGAAATAATTTAAATGAGGGAATTATAATTTGACAGATTCAACTTTGTGTATTTTTACTGAAACCAAAATGACCTCCCGTATTCATTGCGAATACATATTATTGTATCTCCGTTTTAGTAGTACAGGTAAAATCTCCTTAATAATTTTTGGGTTTTATGGGACGTTAGCATAGTACTCATCTTTTAAGACGAAATTCAGAAAGATTCTATATTTTAAGAAACAATGAATTGGACTGAGTGGTAGAATTCAAGAAATTCAATGGAGTGTTTCTGAACTAATCGAAGATATGTTTTCCTCTCTCTTTTGTATATACTTATATCTGGTGTAGCTCCTGGTATTGTTAACAAAACATTGTAAATATTTACTAATTTGTACCTACTATTCCAGATGTAATCAGTGCATCTGGCGGTAAAGGGACCTGGTGAAATGAACAAGGGCTAACCCAGTCCAGTTTTCTTCTCATACAATGTAAGATCATCTTTTTAACATTATATTCAAACAAATACTAATTTCTTCTAACTCTTGTACTCATAACGGGTGTGTGAAAGACTTGCGCTGCACACTATAATTTTCCTACGACTTTGAAATGAAAATTGGAAAAATGGATACTTTCTTTCCTATGATAATAATTAATTGGTATTATAAAACGATATAAATTTTCGAATCTTATTCCCGACGATTCATCTTCGACTTGATTGGGAGAAAAATAAAGCGATAGTGAAGTGTATTGCTTCGGCGGATGATTTCCAACCTTCTCATTGCTTGAGGGTTAAGCAATCTGCTCCAGACTTGACTAAAAGAAAAGCAGATGATCAACGATACGGTTGAAATATTCATTGAGATTCGGCAACTCGAAAAATTTGCCCTTACTCGGAGCGTATCCGATTTTATTAATCTGTATATTTTTTTTAGATCATATAACTATTTTCATAGGTACCTTTCTTCCTTCCTTTGTTTTATGAAAGTAATTAATGAGGCGTTTATTGAAGAATTGGTGAATTAAGCGTTTAAATTTTGTCTGAGAACGTCAAAACATGTTGCAAATATATATTCGACATTTTCAGTCAAAGGAGAAAAATAAATATAAGAAAATAAAAAGAAAAAAAGAAAGGAACAGAAAGGGCAATGAAACAGGACCCCTTTCTGTTTTGATGGACTTTGATATAGTTTTCAGCCATGTTTGGGACTACAAAATAGATATACGGAGTGGTCAAATGTAAACGAAATTGATTCGTTGTCAGAATCTCTGCCAACATATAAGGAAAACGCAAGAAAATTTGATTCAAGAGGGCATGAGGAGTGCACAATTGTGGTATTTTGACTCCTTTACTTCCTTTTACCAAGCGATAATGACAGTCACGAAAAAATTTCCAAATGGTATGTAAGGTCGAGAAGTCAACGTTTTAACGTTCTCAAAATGCCTTTCTACGTCTTTCTCCAATGCAGCATTATAGAAAATGTTTTATCTTGATACTAAAGGATAATCAAGTCATGTTGCGAGAAGTACATGTTGATTGTTGATTTAGTTCAACATTTACCATGGCACTAGTTTGGGACAAAAATTAGAATTGTATAGCCTCCCTGGTAACCAGATTTGTCATTTCTTTTTGTCTCCATATCAAACAGTAAAATGTATAGAACCCAACTAGCGATTATGGAAGAAGTACCTTGCAAAACTGTCGATGAGTGCAGTTGAATGACTCCAAAACAGCTTCTGAATGTGTAGAACGAAATTTTCATTATTATGTGGACGCAGTGTAGTAAGTAATCACCTGAACAAATTCATATGTCAAAATGATAATGTAATGGCGGTTTCGCGCGTATTTCCTGAAGCCAGCATGTGAATCAAATCACGCGGGAAATATGCAGTTGCAGTCGAAACGTTTGTAAGCAAAAAAGACCGAGGCAAAACCCGAAAACCATCCAAAACCTCTAATAAAACTATTGGGCTGAATCTTGAAACGACAACTCTTTTGTTCCTCTCATACACGTGCCCCCTCAATAAAAAATCGATGATTCCATATGTTTTGTATCGTTTTTATTTGACCACTCTTCATGAGAAAGGTATATTATGATAAATCAATTTTATCTGTTTGCGAATCCCGGTCGAGTTGCTACTAATGTATAACTGTTACATTATATTTAGTTTATTCCAACAAACCCATGAATATATCGAAACTATCGCTTGATTATCATCGTCCTTGGGCAATTATCACGAAAATGTTTTTGCTGCCGAAGGTAAACCAGTTTCTGTTGATAACTTGTGAGTATCGAAGTTGTCGAAATATCGAAATCAGTTGGGGAATAAAAACAAATGTGTAAGCAGAAATTACGTTTTTTATTCTTGACTTGGGTTCAGCTGAAAATGATGATTTGGTGAAATAGGCTGAAACTGTTGAAGCAGTTTGAAGAAACGTTTCGTGTGAATTTGTTTTATTAAAAATTACGACAAAAATTTGAATGAAAAAAAAAATCATAGAACATGAGGGCCTCATGTGTTTTTCAAAATGAAATTCACTAAATTCTGAGTTCAAAGTTGAAATTTAATGAGAGTTCAAGTTTGAAGTCGGAATTTGACAATATTTCGAGATTGAACTCAATATTCAATAACTATGCTATCAATAAATTCCGAATTGAATTTCAAATTCGGAATCTCATTAAATTCACACTTGATTCGGAATTTAGGGATTTTTTTCAAAATCTCACTTCCGTAAATTTCTCTCGTCTGCAAACTGATAATTTTTATATCAATCAACGAATTAAAAGCAATGAAAGTGTGGAGAAATGGATGATTTTTTTTTCAGAGCTATAATATTTTTTCTCATATTTCAATCAACAATACAATTCTTCACTAGCAGAAATTTCATGAGACGACTATTGTCCTTTTTTACTGCATAGCACTAAAATCATTCCTTTTTCTTTTTCAGGACAATTCACTACCCATCCAGTGCAACATGTAGTTGCTTGAGTGGCAGATATTAATTTTCATAGGCTTTCAATAACAATTTTTCAGAATGCAGTATTTACAATTTTCAGTATCTAATTTTTATCGTGTATATATTTAGAATAGGTGTAAAAATAACATATGAATGTTCTATCATTGAAATTTATTTCAAAGAATCGACCACAACTTTCTAGTCTCAAAAATGTTTTTCGAATGAATATCAGTAGAATTTTTATATTTTCATGATTTTCAAAATGTTATTCATCACTGATGGTTCAATGCACATTTCATGAAAAAATCGTTTTGTTGGAATTTGTCTCAAGAGATTTCGAAATAAAACTTCAATTGCCAATATTCATCGCTTCAACTGGTCTGGTTATTTTTGGAAAAAAATACTGAATAGCAATTCAGTTTGAACGCTTTTGAGGTAGAAATATCATTTCTGTTCGAAACAAGTATATTTATACCTTGAGAAAGAAAACTTCTTGATGCTGTCCAAACAACGCTTACTATTATACAGAATGTAATAAGTTATATAACATTCATATTGTAATCCAAAACATTCATGTGATAAATAGAAAAGTTGAATCAACTTGAAAATTCTAAATTAAAGGTGACCATTATGTGAAACAAAAATGATGAATTACTAGAACATCCAGCCCTGAGAACTGCAATATAGCAGGTGTTTAACTTACACTAAATTGTTGAATATTCTATGAAACTAAATTCATTTTTGTATCTCATGAGAAGTTATTTGCGAAAACATATCCATTTCCACAATTTTAATGATTATTGGTACTGTTATACATTTCAATTGGTTCAGTATTTTTCATGCACCAGAAAATTTCAGTTCTCAGGACTGGCAGGACATTTGAATGATTCTCCAAACGTGGTCGTAGAGACACCGATGGTGCAGAACCCAGTGGAAGTTCAAATGCAGCAGTAACAGCAGAAAACATTGAAAAAAAATCACAAAATCGTTTGGAACAATCGAAAAGTGAAGTTGCGTGAGTTAGCAGACATTATATAGATATCAAAAGAACGTGTTGGCTATATATTGTATGAGCATTTGACTATGATAAAGCTTTGTTCAAACTGATTCCACGGGAGCTCACTGTTGACCAAAAAGAGAACGTCTTGATGATTCTGAGCAGTGTTTGGCCATGTTTAAACATAACAAACTGGAATTTTTGCATTGATATGAGACAATGGATGAAACGTCGATCCATCACTTTACTCCGGAATCAAAAATATTGTCATCTGAGTGGACAGCAACTGGTAAACCTCGTCCAAAGCGCACGAAAGCACAACAATCGGCTAGAAAGGAGTAATTAACTGACGTTAATATTACGTTTTCTAACGTAATATTGACTGTACCAAATTCCAATCGTATTCATCATCTCCTTGGGTAAGGAAAATTTGAAATATATTTCAGAGTTCATTTGGAAGGTGTACCAAAATTTCCTCTGTGTCACCTAATGGTGGCTTGGAATCATCTTGGAGTCCCAATATCATTAGTAAATTCTGATTCTCAACACTTTGGTTGTTGTCCTTTCTGCTTTCATATCCTGGAAGATTCACAGGCGAAGAACTAACTTCATCTAGGACGGGGTCATTCAAACTGAGATATACCGTGTACTAAGTTTTTCTTTTAAGAATATAGGAGTTATGAATTTGAGTTCGCTGACCAAGCTTGAGTACAGAGTACACATTATAAATTAATGTCAAGACCAATTTCATTCATTCTGTTTACTGAGTTTGCTCTGGTCATTTCGAAATAAAGTATTCTTTGAATGGGATTATCGTACATTGAATACTCAGCTGGTTAGGACAGTGGCAGTTTTCTTTTATCAGAAGAACACGGCATTGTGACCGGCTTCAAACAACCTGAGTTTCAATCATTCAAACTTATCGGGTGTTTCAGTATTTTAGTGTCCCAAAAAATTCGTTACTATGTCAAAGTATCCTTTTGTTAAATTCTACATTTTTTAAATTTTCACCAGTAAAAAATATAATGATTTTGTAGACAATCTCCATGAGTAGAAGCCCAAAAGTCGATCCACTTTTTTGATTGAAGGTGGTTGACAATGTTTCGTGGTGTATTTCATCAATTCGGACTTCCATTGTCTAATATAATATAAACTGATTTGAAAACCCTGAAAAACAAAATTGAAAAATTAAAATGATTAAATGAAAATAACAATTTTATTAAACAAAAACTGGAATTACAAAGAAATAACATACAAGCTTCAACCAATGATTGTTTTTTTCAGGGTTTTCAAATCAATTTATATTATATTAGACAATGGAAGTTTTTTGAGATTTACGCTAGAATAGTTAAAATACCACAATGAAGTGTAATTTGCACAAATTTTCAATACCTATTTGAATATTTCTGATTGCATTCCTGAAATCATTATAAATAATTCACCAAATATTGCCCAAATGTCAAATAAAAATGCTACCTTGAGGAAGTTAAAAAAGACTCTGTTTGCTGTTTTGGCCTTTAAGGCGGTCGTCTTTTGGAATTTCTCTCTGCAAGATTGAAGGTGAAATGGCCCGTTGGTGTACTAAAGCTTGGTTTATGAGTAGGTGAGGGCACTCTGGTCCAATTACGTGTGGCCGGTCCGTTCTGCTCAGACGGTTCGGAATTATCGCCGTACTGGTGTTTTATTAAGCTGGCCTCCAAATTATAATAGATTGAGAACTATATTTTCGAACGCAACCCCTGACGACGACGATGAAACCGTCCACTCTGCATTGGAAAACTCATTGGTTGAAATCCTGTAGGAAGTTTGCCAGTCCCAAACGACACAGGTGACGTTTGGGAGTACGCAGATTGAGAAAATTGCAGAGACCATCGACGAGACCTGGGCAGTAGGCAGATTGAGACCTCTGTGTAGACATAGCTTCCTGAAAATGGCTTCAAAGTAGTCGAAGCCGAAACGTCAAACAACTGAAAACACCAGACGCGGTTGAACCCGAACGTCAGATTATCATATATAGAGGTACACATATAACATGATTCACCTCAACACCCCCACTTTCCTCTAGTCATTTTCCGAAAAATTTTGCGAAAAGGGTATTAAATAAAGAAACTATTTTCTGAAAATGAAGGTAAGTATCTAATGAAAGAAGTTCTTAGGACTATCCGTGCATTAACTTCGAAATTGTTGACTCCTTGATCTAATCTCATCAAAACTTCGAAAAAGCAAACTGTGAGAAGCATCCAAGGAAGACTTGACATAGAGTTAGTCGTAGACCAATCACTGGGAACTAGTATCTCTACATATATTATCTCTACACAGTCAGGTAGATATTAAAAAGAAATATGCCACGGATGTACTCGAGAAGCCTTTAAAAGTTTAAGGAATCCCAAAGTATCCCAAAACCCAAGCATGAGATACTCTTGAAAGGACCTCAGGTTGAAATAAATAATCCGAAAGCAAATAATGAGATAGAATAATTTTTCCATATTTTTAGGGAAAAGAGAAATGTTCATTCAATTTGAAAAGTACTGAACTATATGCATCCAACAAAAGAAAACAACCCAAACAAAGATAGATGCGCAATCAAAGCATGACCATCATGTACTTTTGGATCTATTGGGTCAAATAAACAAGCCTCCTTACGCTGGCCAACCAGATTGAATTGCAATCGGCTGGCGGATTCACTGTTACAGTCAGTTATGTTTTAACGCCTGTTGTGTGTACATCTGTATTTGTAGAGTAGGGACATTGTACAGCCTCCCGAGGAGTGGTCCCCCTAAGTCATCGTCCATCCTGTCCTTTCCAGGAACGTCACTAGGAGATATCTCCTTTATATCGGCAGGTATAGGCCAAGACTCGCCACACACACTTTCTTTGGCAACCTTGAGGTGTCTCACGACGGTCTCTGCGAAAGTTTTGAAAAGTGCAGCGATATTACTGTCGTTGCGCGACTTCTACAACTTTTTTGGGGTTCCCTCCATTGAGGTGCTCAAGTGAGGGCGCTTTTCTGTAGGGGGAGCCGGTTCCATGCCTTTATTCAAGGCGGAGCTTTTGTCGCAAGGCGCAGGAAGTGCCCTTGCTGTTGGAGGTAGAGTGAAGAAGGAGGAAGGTGCTCCTCTCGGCCCTCGACGCCGCAAATGCGCTTACGCTTCGGCCTTTATATTACAGCACGAGGTGATCTGCTATGTCCAGCCTCATTTCAAGGGGTAGATTTGAATGTACATTTCTGTTCATCCCCAGCCCCCGCCATAGATTGAGGTGAACACTTCCGTCCAGCCTCGGGATTGATTTTTGTTTTTGTTGTGTCTGTTTTTGTGTTTGCTTCATTCATGTGTGTTCCCACGAGTAGCAGGGGAAGAGTTGGTCACCTCTGGCAGAGCTTCGCATTAACAGAGGTTGGCTGAATACAATGAGGTTTCGCCCGGTTCCCCAAGAGGAACGTTCGTTAAGGTATGTCACCCTGCGGCCACTCAGCTGTTGGCACGATTCCTTACATCTTAGCTTGGGTAGGCTGGTCCACGGTGGTATGTTTCGCAAAGGCTTTTGGAGAATTTTAGTTCCCCCTCACCCTACCTTTTTCTCCCTCTGACCAGGAGTCTGGCGACCTCGTCTGTGAGGCCGCATTGGCTCCTTGGACAGGGCCCGCCACCTGGTGACGCGCCCGATTGGTAGCCCAACCCACGGGTGGTGTGCCCATATGCGGTATTTTGAAGCTTAAAATTTTTGAAATGTCAAGTACTGATACGGCTAAGGAAACTGCTAATTTGTGCCCCTATATACAACCTAAACAAAATTCTCATTCCCAGCCGTCCACGGGTGGTGTGTCCATATGCGGTATTTTGAAACTCAAAATTTTCGAAATGTCAAGTACTGATACGGCTAAGGAAACTGCTAATTTGTGCCCCTATATTCAACCTAAACAAAATTCTCATTCCCAGCCGCATATTACTGAAAAAAAAAATTCGGTCGTTCCTTGGTGCGACTCTGTACAATCAGCATTGTCTGGAAGATAACGTGCACTATACCTAATAAAGTTTTGGAGCAATCCGTTGCTTAGGTGGACAGAGTACCTATAAGGTAACACTGAATTCATTTTCAAAAGTTTAGAATACTGTATGGAATGGAATATCCAATCTTTCTAGGGAGTGTTTTCACGCTTGTTGCCCACTTTTCCCGGCCTATGAGAAGAAACTTCACGCGAACAGTTTAATTTCCAGAGAATTTGAAAATCGCAGCGTAACTCGTTACAACTCTCTATCAAAAACGTTTACATCACGAGTTTAGCTGACCGGAAAACTGTGTATAAGTAGATTCCGCATTTCAGGTAATTTCAATATGATAAAGGAAACCCGAAGCGCTTGAAGGTTACTCGAATTGCCTGGAGGTTCCCGAAATCTCCTTCTGTCGTGTTCCAGTTCCCAGCCCACTAAGATCACGACACGACCTTTTAATTTACTAAATTGATCATCACGTGATACCCAGTTCGTCCTCTCATCTTTATATACACAGTCACCATACAAAACCACTGTATTTGTGAAACGGCTTTTTGTAAATTATATTTTACTTCAAAAATTCGTGTTTGGTTTCGAAATATGTAATAATGTATTCTATTATCATATATATTCATCGGAATGGTAAATAAGATAGTATTTCTGCACAAATTATTGAAAATTTGGAAGATTTTCAAATCACATAATTACAAAATCTGTCATACGATAATTCTTAGTATTGCAAAAAATTTCCATGAATTGAATAGTTTCTTGGGTAAACTGGACACAGATTTCGATATTATTATTTTGACTGAAACTCATCAATGTGAAAATGTGGATATTTTCAATGTTGAGGGATAATAAATAATAATGATAACAATAATAATAAGAACGGATAAAAT